ACTGTGTGATGCCATCATGTCAATATGGACCAAAATCTCTGAGGAATGCTTCCAGCACCTTGTTGAATCTATGCCACAAAGAATTGAGGCAGTTCTGAAGGCAAAAGGGGGTCCAACCCGTTACTAGCGTGGTGTACCTAATGAAGTGGCCAGTGAGTGTATTGCCGTATTCTTTTCTAAAAGATTCTGTCCTAAAAAAATCAGCTCAAACTAGAATTATACGTTCAGGGTACTCAGGAGGGGAGGAGCCAAATGACTGCTGCCAACTAGTAGTCGGAGGCTAAAACACAATACAAAAATGAACCGCTGGCATGAAATTTGACATTTTAAGCCTTAATTAAAAACTGATACAGCGCTTTAATCAATTCAGTATCAGGAAATAAAACATTGTAATATTTGAGTTTGTCATTATTTTCTTACACCCCTGTCTTTAAGTTTTACTGAAGATTGTCCAGTGGCTCATGAAATTCCCCCAATTGACTCGTATTCCTCCTGACTTGGCTCTTGACTGTGAGTTCCTGCGATCAGATCCATCTGTTTCTGAAGGTTGAAAATAGTCACACAATGCATCCATCTGCACGGACAGTAATTACCACTGCAGCAAAGCAACCAGTGTCGCCTCCCTCTCCTTTACAGAGACACTTCAGCAATATTCTTTCCAGGATTTAGTACAAACTCGAAGCAGAAAACACACCAAAACGAAAATGTGATAAAAAAAACACATAACAATGGTCTCCCTGCTCAGACTGGTTATCATCTGCAAACATCTCCTGTTTAAAAAATTTGAGCCAATCATAAATTAGATTTTTGTCATTATTGTTTACATTTTATACTGTGAATGTTTATAGACAGTTCTCTTTCACTTTTCAAAAACTCTCACTCTTCGAGCCAAGTGGCTCAGGGAACAACTCTCTGGAGTAAAGTGAATTCTCCAACATCATGAGTCTGAAATCACCACGGACTGGTATTACTTTTGTGGTCTTTGTGTTTCCAAAGATGTTTCCAGATTAGAGAGGAGAAGGGAGGAGGACCCTGTGCACTTTGAACCCATTCTTCTATTGACTTACTCATTCTTTAGATAAGGCCTGGCTGACACATTAGCTCCTTCATCCACAACTATAGAGCACCTGAACATTGTGGGCGCACAGCTGTTTAACAAAAGCTTACACTGGAATCTGACACTGCTGGTATTAGCAGGGTGACTGCAGGCTTTTTCTCCTCTTTTGTCAGAATCATTTTTGAGCTGCTTTTCCCAAGTGTACGCAGGTGCAACAAAGAACTGCTTCTTAAAACAAACTGTCCAGGGAAATCTCATAACAGCAACAAGAACTAAACAACTTTCTGTGAAATTGTAGCATGAATGCTTCATGAGTTAGCTCAAAGTTTGTTGAAAAAGCTTAAATTGAATTGGCATGGATAAAACAAACAATTAATAAAAAACTTAACTAAAACCTAAAACTTGCAAAATCATAGCTAAAAGTTAAAGACAGCAGAATTCAAAGTTAAAAGCTAAAGCCAGCAAAAGTGAAGCTGAAAGCTAATTTCAGCTAAATGGATACTAAAAGCCAAAACTTGCTAAACCATAGCTAAAGGCTAAAATAAGCCAATTAGTGTCAAGAGTAAAACAAACTAAACAAAAAAATTGTAAAGTACTCTAATATAAAAAATATTATTTTGCTTCGATGAAACTAAAAAATGTTAAAGAGATTATTTTTTACATATCAAGACACAAATGCTAAAAATTAAACCTAAACAGGCAAACAACAATATTCATTGAGAATCAGCTCCTGGAATAAGTTAATATAATTTACCTAAAATGTAAGTCCTGAAACATTAACTGTAAGTTCATCTCAAGTAAAATAAAGTTCTGCCAAAAGTTTTCAAATGTTAGTCTCCAGCTTTATGATTAGTTTTATTTGGCTTTTTTTTCTGCTGTGCAAAAAAAAAAAGAAAGTTTGAAAGAAAACTCCTACCTAAATTAACGAAGCTCATCACCATGTCCGCGTCGTTCAAGAAGTTGTTGTCCTGCAGGCTGGCTATGGGGGGGCCCTGGGTAGTGAAGATAGGCTTGTAGGGGTAGGAGTACCTCTCCTCGTCCCCCTCCGTGGACATGGCGTTGTACAGGTCCAACATGAACATCGGGGCGGCGTTGTGCTTGCCGTGGAGATGTGGCCGCGGCCGGTGCGGCAGCCCCAGGATGGACAGGATCTCCCGCTGCATCTCTCTGCGCTCCTGGCTCTTCAGCCGGCGGTGGATGAAACTGGAGTGGAACTCGTTGTCCAGGGTGAAGTTCGCAAAGGCCGGGTCCGCTAGGACGCAGCAGCTCCAAACCAAAAGCAAAAACAACGGCGCGCGTCTATCCAAAACCCGTGCCATGGTGACGGCGACGCCGTGCGTAATTGCGCTCGGAGCCGTTCGCCGAAACTCTGCAAAACAAGTGGATTTGGTGAGCTTCTTAACAGCAGCCAAGTCGGTAATCAGTATCCAAAACAAGCCCTCATTGTTGAGGGGAGCGCTCCCCGGTGACACATCAACTTCAGCTCAAAGTCCCCTTGTCACTGTGCTCGCGTCGCGTGTGCGCCTCGCGCCTAAAAAAAAAAAAACCTGCGGTCGAAAAAGTTGCCCAGCCGAGCGGCGCAGCAGCGTGCAGCTCTGCAGAGTGGAGGCTGTGAGCACAGCTTTTCTCTGAACAAGTTGTAAGGAGGCGCTGAGCTCTGGGGAGGATCGGGGGGAGGAGGGAGGAGGACAGAAAGAGCGCACGTGTGTTTGCTGCTGCCAGCTGGAGAGAGAGAGAGAGAGAGAGAGAGAGAGAGAGAGAGA